GGCGAGAGCAGGAAGGAAAGCAGCCGATGGCCACTGCAGGGGGACAGAGGCAGTTATCTGGGCAAACCCAGTCTTACAGTGGACTGAAAAAAGGCGAGAAAGCCGTATTCTTCCTAATTCGAGAACGCTACTCATGCAGAGTACACAGCACTCAAGTATTTCCAAAAAGCTGAACCCAAGTCTACTATAAGTACTTGAATTGGTGGCTGATGGCTTGTCCATTCTCTCACAAGGTATTTCAAGGGCATCACTACATGTCGCACGATGTGCTGACCCCCAAGGATGCAAAACTGGGTAACACGTGGTCCCTGTCCTCCATCTCAGGGTGGGGAGAGATGTGAAAGGGAACATTGGCAGGGACAGATACTAAGGAGATAATCACACGGCAAAATGAGGGTTATGAAATAATAGGCAAAGTGGAGACAAGAACTGCAATGGGGAGGGATGGTTCTGGAAGGTTCTGCAGAGGTGCAGTTCAGCTGGGTCATCCAAATTGAGAACGCAGCATCCAGAGGAGAAAAGAGGAGGAAGAATATTCGGGGCAGAGGGAACAGCATATGCAAGTGAAAGTCAGCATTAGACCACACGGCCTTTGTGGGAACAGGGAGTCCTGAGATACAGCATGCAAAAAAAAAAAAAAAAAAAAAAAAGACTGGAACAGCAGAATAATGATGGAGAAGAGGATGAAAAGGGAAAACAGCCTCCTTTAAATGGTGAGGGAAAAGAAGAGGCAGGAGCACAGATCAAAAAGAGATTTAAGAGACACATCAATGAAGTGTCATACACGGACCTTCTTTGGACTCTAATCTGAGTAAACTGCTGCTGACTTTCTTTTTTAACAATCAGATAGGTTCTAAAATGGACTGGATTTTAGGTGGTCGTAAAGAATCATGGTTAATTTGTTTTGAGGAGTGTTAACGGTTTTCTGGGTGTATGTGTGTGTGTACGTTCTGAAATATTTGTAGATACAATGATATGATGCCTGGGATTTACCCTAAAATAATCCAGCGAGGACAGCAGGAAAGGGCAAGCAGAGGAAGGATGAAACAAGATGGGTTCATGTTAATGGTACACATGATGTGCTGACTCCCATAGCTGCATTGTACGCTGAGTCCAGTATGACACGGTACTGAAATCTCCCACAAAAAGAAGGATTAGAAAGGCAGACCTTCTAAACCCTGCTGAAAGGTTTGAACTGGGTCCTCTAAACGTTGTTTCTCAAATTTTGGTGTAAAAAAGAATCATTTTGGGAGCTTGCTTAAATGCAGATTCCCAGGCAGCAGTTCCAAGTCTCAATAAATTCAGGCTAAGGTCCAGAAAAGAGAGAGACAGAGCCCGAGAGGGGGGAGAGAAACAGACACAGAATCCAAAGCAGGCTCCAGGCTCTGAGCTGTCAGTACAGAGCCCGGCGGGGGGCTCGAACCCACAAGCAGTGAGACCATGACCTCAACCGACTGAGCCACCTGGGGAATCCCCAGAAATCTGCATTTCTAATAAACATTCTAGATAATATTAAAGCTGGTCGTCAGAGCCACACTCTGAGACAAACCACTCAAAGGGCTATGACAGAATTCATTTATGTACTGAAGTCTCTGGCAGCAGTTATCAGACAGACTTGAGGGGTTACAGGAAGTTGAAGGAGGAAGAGTCAGGAGGCCCCTGTACCATCCAGCCAAGGATGAAGGTCAGCGGCAGAGGAGACAGGGGAGAATGGCACAGCCAGAGAGACATCTAGGAGGCATAATCAAGAGATCTTTGTAACTGACTGGGCATGAGATTCAAGAACAGGGAAGCTTCGGGGACACCCCCAGGTGTCCCCCAAGGACCCAGTCTTGCATCTCTCTGTTCCCCACCCCCACAGCACCTAACGCAAGGTCCTCCACATTCCGAAAACTCAATGTGGTTCAGTGTTCAGTGAATAAAATCACCTACCCGGCCTTTTTTTTCCCCCACAGAAATAAAAGATTAATATTACTGTGTTTACCTATAATGTCAAAAGGGAAAAGACAAGGGAGCCTGGGTGGCTCAGTCAGTTAAGTGTCTGACTGGCTCAGGTCATGATCTCACAGTTCGTGGGTTTGAGCCCCACGTCAGGCTCTGTTCTGACAGGCAGCTCAGAGCCTGGAGCCTGTTGCAGATTGTGTCTCCCTCTCTCTCGGACTCTTACCTGCTCACACTGTCTCTCTCAGAAATAAATAAAACATTAAAAAAAATTTTTTTTTAAAAAGAAAGGGAAAAGACATTAACGTCTCAAATATCAAGAGGGGAAAGTCTACTCCAACATTAGAAACTGACCAAATCCACAGGGCAGTGCTGAGCCAGTGGGTCACTCATTCCACCCCTCTATAAACTGGACGGATTCCAGAATGGTCAAGACATTAATAGAAATGGTGGTACCAACAAATAAAAGCAACGGTCAATGAAAACAGGTTCCATTAAATAATAATAAATGCAAAACACTTAAATGAAAAAGAAGTTGCAGACTGGGTTTTTTCTGTTTGTGTAAAAACCCGGTGCACCTTTAGTTCAATCTACAGAAAATCATTCCCGTGACCCCTGTGGCCTTTTGCGTGGACAGAACAGGGCTGCAGCACAAACCTCCAAGGTATAAGCAGGAAGCACTCGCCCCCTGCTTTGCACCTCTGTACACGGGGCACCTGTGCTCAGAAATGTCCAAGGGCCCCCATCGCCTTTGGAGCACAGTCCAGACTCCTGGGCGTGGCCCTCAAGAACCCCAGGGCCCAGCTCAAACTACCTTCCCAAACCTATGTCCCTGTGTGTCCGCCAGGAGCCCTCTGCTTCAGCCAACTGTGGGAGAAGCAAGAAGTCCCATATCTCCGTTCAACATCTGGCCGTGTCACCTTAGCAAGCCACTGAATCTCCGAGCTGGTTTCCCTGCCTGTTAAAAGAACATCACATCCGCTTGCAGTTGCTGGAAAGTCAGAAGATCATAGATACAAATGCCTCCTGCAATTCCAAACAGCCCCCCATAAGCCCTGTGAAAATATCAGGTCCCATTTTCACATGGTCTCCCTCATACGCATTCCCACCCCACCCCCCCACCCCATGGGCATAAGTTCATGACGTGGGGACTCATGACTTCTAGCCCTGCCCTCAGCCCCTGCCCTGACCATCCTCAAGGGTCCAGCTAATGAAATGCTGTGCCCTCTCCAGGTCCCCCACCGTGGTTCTGCTAACTGTTAGCGATCTTTTTCTCCTTTGGGATTCCAAACCATGTCATCTTGGCCATTGGTCAATCCCTCGGCAACTGGCAAATGCCACTTTTAGCCTTCCTAATCTCTTTTTATCTTTGCCCAGTCCACATCACCAAAGTCTGGTAGTCTCTTTGTATTTCTATGCCCGTCCCCGGCACAGAACAATTACATTTTTTCCCCATGTTGAAAATCACAATGTGATGGCATGGGCTGGTTAACAGGGACCATTATCCCATCTCTCAATCTTGAAAATCAGGACAACTTGTGTTGGAGATGACATTTATTCCTGTCTGGAACAGGGGGCTAGAGTTCATAATTTTGGGTAATCACTCAACCCTGTGATTACAGGCAATTTGAGGGCAGCTGGAAGGAAGAAGTAACTACCAAAGAAAAACTTTGCTAGTTCGGGAAATGCCAGCCCCAAATCTATGGAAACAAAATGTAAGGAAGATGAAGTCATTACAGAAATGATGAAGAGGCAGAAGTGAGCCTTGGCACAGTCCCAGAGGCCTCTGCTGTGTTAGCCTCCATCACCTGTGAGAGGTGTCCTGGGGGACACAAAGGGAAGCAGAAAGTACAAAAGAGTCAAAAGTTCCTCACCATTTTTATTTTCATCATTGAAATACCAAAGGCCTCCCAAGAAAATGTCTCATTGCAGGCATGTCTCAAGCCCCAGCCCAGGCCGGATGAAGGAAGGGATGTCCCAGCTGCTACCTGGAGCCAGAGGACCCTGCTCTGGTTTTGACCAGAGCTGATCATCGAACCCAGGAAGTCCCCAATCTGTGTGTCTGGAACGATGACAGACACTGCACAGAAATTGTGGCGCTTAGGCGCCTGGGTGGCTCAGTCTTATCCGGCTTCGGCTCAGGTCATGATCTCACGGTTCGTGGGTTCGAGCCCCACGTCGGGCCCTGTGCTCACAGCTAGCTCAGAGCCTGGAGCTTGTTTAAGATGCCGTATCTCCCTCTCTCTCTGACCCTCCCCTGCTCACACACACACACTCTCTCTCTCTCTCAAAAAACATTTTAAAAAATAAAAAAAAGAAAGAAAGAAAGAAAAAGAAATGGTGTCGCTGATGTCACCAGGAACCAAGGCCATCACAGTGAGGGGGTTGGCGCCAAAATTCCATCACAAGCCCGCCAACGGTGTGAAGAAACCAACAGCCACACAGGAAGCCAGACTGCCAAGAAGAGACAGGACCCATGCGCAGAGAAAGGCAAGATGAGCATCCCTGGTGGCCGCGGAGGGACCCCCAGACCGGTTCCCATCACCAGCGACCCAAGATGCACTCTGCTGGCTCCTCGCCGCCAGCCCGTGGGACTGATTATTATATCTTTGGGACAAGCCCTCTTTTACTTATGCCGACCTGGGTGGCTTGCTTTTCCCCGAGACCAAATGTGCCCTGACTACAACCTTCTCCTTTAAGAGAAACTAAACACAATCCACTGGGAAATCCCTCTTATAATCTATTTCAACCGACAGCAGCTACTTTTGTCTGATTTATTACCTCAGTGAGCCTTCCTTCTGGAAGAAGGAGGGACCGCGATCTCTTTTACAGCAGACCTGATCTTAACACTGACAGGGCCAGCGTGTGCAGCCTTACATTGCGTTGCCTTACACGATGCATCTCAACTAGTCTGGTCAGCTTATCCGTTCCCTGAAAGCCGGGAAGCCACCACATCAGCAACTCTGTTGCTACGGCAACTGCTTACTTTCCATATCAATGGCAAACTCGTTGCTATGGAAACACATATACAAGAAAAATCCCTCTCTCCAGCCAGGGACCAGATGGCAGGGATCTCAGAAAAGTCATGGGCTAGGGGCCTTTGCTAAATGGGATGTTTACTACCGTGCATTTCTCTCATCATATCGGAGATGCCACCGGCCCCGAGCACATTTAGAAATTACAGCCTCATCACAAAAAGCAAAGGTTTGTTTCCTGCCTGCAAAACGAAGGGCAGGAACTACGGTAACTACAGGTAAGTTATTTCTGAGATGATTCTGAATTTCTCCCTCTACGTATAAACCTCTTTTGTTTTTATTCACCATGCTGAATATACCCTAAAATGAGTTCGCCGGTCAAACTGTAATGGAAATATAATTTTCAATAAGAACTGAAATAGGAGGTTTGATTTTTTTCCTCCTTTTTGATGGAGAGGTAATCCAGAAATCCTCTTTAGTTTCCACCAACTAAGCGCTAAAGTGTCCCAGATTTATACCTCCGCTCTGACTTCTCTATTAAGCTTGAAATCCATATAGCAAACCCCCAACCTGATAGCTCCTCTTAGATAGATGTTCAAAAGCCACCTCCAATTTAACATGGTCGAAACAGAATTTTTGCTCCAACCTCTCTCCCACTTCCCAAGCCTCATTTGCCCACAAGCCTTCATCTGCAATCCCCAATCCTGGTCTCAGCCAGCATCGCTTCTGTCATCTCTAACCTGTACCATGGGAACAAACCCCAGACAGATGCTTCTCCCAGATGTCTCTTTAAAACATGTCATTCTTGGGGCGCCTGGGTGGCTCAGTCGGTTGAGCATCCGACTCTTGATTTCACCTCAGGTCATGATCTTAGGGTTCATGAGATTGACCCAGCCCTGTGTGGGGCTCCTCGTGGGCAGCGGCAGGGAGCCTGCTTGGGATTCTCTCTCCCTCTCCTCTCTCTCTGCCCCTCCCCACCCAGCACTTGCTTATGTACACTCCCACTCTCTCTCTCTCAAAATAAATAAACAAACGTTTAAAATACATAAAATAAGACATCTCCTTCTCCCTCTTTAATATGCTTTCTATTGGCCTTCCTTCTGTTCCCTGGACAGTTCAAACTGTTGCCACCTCAGGGCCTTTGCATTTGCTGCTCTCTCTGTTCCAGTCTTTGCACGGCTGCATCCCTCTTGCCATTTAAGACATGGCCCCGTCAGCACCTCCAGGAAACTTCCCACCCTCCTCCCCACCTCTGTCCAATACATTATATCCTGTTTTATTTTCTTCATTGTGTTTATAACTATCTGATATATTATCTATGTGTCTATGTATAGATCTCTTCTCCCCTTCTCCCTATCCTGTGGAGAGTCTGGAATAGCCAGCTAATAACTATCGCAGGTCACCATGATATCCTCAGCACACAAAACTGTGCCTCTCGCTCCACATAGATGTGTGGCATGAATGATAAACGCTTCTAAAATGACTGAGCTACTTTTTTTGTAAATGCAGAGTTTAGTTTTTAGTTTGCAAACTAACGCTTCTGCGGGGTCTTAGAATCATGGCTATGAACACAGGTTCTCACTTTACATGACTTGCATCTGCATAAGACTCTGGAAAGAATTCGGCATTCCGTGAAGTACTCTGAGAGAACTTGGTGTGACTGTGCACCCCAGCTCCGTGCCACATTGCTGCGCTCTGATTTCAGGAGACCCTGGGTTCCCCCCCACCCACCCTCCCCACTCCAGCCACGATTAGAGTGGTGCTCACGTGACTTGGCCTTTTTTCCCAAAAACAGAGTGTACAAACGCTCTGCTAGCTGTTTTCTGTCTAATGGCATTAGTTAAATCACTTATCGGTCCTGTCCCTTGAGGAGCAGAGACAGCCTGCGCGAGGCACTTCACAGAGCTCTGATAAATGCAAGGCAACGCTGCCCGTGAGCCCACCGGGCACAGAGCAGGTGCCCACCTATCCAGTGGGGGCAGGAGGAAGAGACGGAAGGGTGACCGAGAGGCGGCACAATCTCCAGGCCGGTATTTACTGGTCTCCAGGCCGGTATTTACTGGTCTCCCGCTGAGTTCACAAGCCCAAGTGCACGCGCGCGCACACACATCAAAGACTTCATTCGGTTCCTGGAATGGTCTACAATCTCGCAGAGCAAACTAGCAAGTTCTTATTTAAAAAAAAACAACTTTACGCTACTCTCTATCTTCAACCATACATTTTCCTTGCTTTTCTTCTTATCATACTCGGCACACACTCCATCTTCACCTCTATCACGCTACCGCTTTGGAAAATATTAAATGCAATTTAACCAGAATATCTTGAAGCAAAACCTTGGTTAACTGCAAGGTTTAAAAAATGGGTCGGCGTCTCTGCTTCCGTTAAGTTAGCAGGACAATTCAGCTTTCCCCTTCCAGTCCTAGCTCCCCCACCAACCCCTCGCTCTTATTTACATGACCTCCCTGACAACCCATCTCTCTCCCTCCTTTTCTCTGACTGTTCCAACACATCCCCTGGGTCCAAAAACATTCATCTCCTCTAGACCTCTGTGACAGAAAACCCCATGCTTGCTTAGTAACAAAACCCAACATTTTTACTTGGGATTGCAGTGGGCCCAGCTAAAAGATGACATTTCCTACCCGTCCTTGCAGCCATGTGACCACAGTATAGCCAATGAGATACGATGAAAACAGATTGTGGGCTTTCTGAAAAAGCTCCTTAAAACTGCAAACTTAACGGGACCCCCTTAGGTCCTTCCTTGCACATACACACCCCCACTTCCTACTTCCTAATGGAGAAGATGCCAGCTGATGCCATCTTGGACCCTGGAAGGCTCTGGGAATAGAAACCAGTACTGCACTAAGAACAGTAGAGCAGAAAGACAGACGGAATGTGGGTCTCTGTCCAACTCCTCAAGATTTACTTTATGTGATAGAACGATCCACTCCTAGCTTGTTTAACTCACTACTGTTTGGATTTTCTAGAAGAGTCCAACCTCATCCGAACTAATCCATTCTTGGTCACATGCTCATTCCCACAGCAGAAGAATGTTTTGTGAATTTATTCAAGTACTTCCCTCATAAGGAGTATCCAAAACTTGCCCACTGCTAGCTTTTTCTCAGCTCCAAGTGCCCCATTTGGGGAAGAGAAGCTTCTCTGACCTCAAATGACACCTACCGTTTATGGATCTGAAGCGCTTCCCAAACTCATGGTGGCTTATTCTTTATTTTTTTATGTCTCTTGTGTCCCTGCAATGTAAGCTCCTAGGGAGCAAGAACCAAATCTTTTTTTTTATGTTTATTTATTTTTGAGAGAGCGAGGGAGTGCAAGAGCAGGGGGGAGCAGAGAGAGAGACAGAATCAGAAGCAGGCTCCAGGCTCTGAGCTGTCAGCACAGAGCACGATGCGGGACTCCAACCCACGAACCGCGAGATCGTCAGCGTGCTGAGCCTAAGTCAGTCGCCCGACTGACTGAGCCACCCAGGAGCCCCCATATCTCACTTTTTAACTTAACTTTTCACGTTACCAAATAATTCTACAGAATAGTCTAACTAATAAGCAAAGACCTATTGGTGTCCCTGAAATCGCAGGCAAAGAGTTACTGATGGCCTACAAATATGGAGGCATTCCACAGGAACAACCTGGTAAATTCTGACGGTAACTTCAGGCCAGGGTTGAACCGAATGTGGCCAAAAGATAAATCCTCACAGGGCTAGTAAGAAGTATTCATTGAGACAAGCAACAAATAAGTCAAAAGTGCCAAGACTAGGGAACAGGAATAAGACCCTTTAAGGGGACCATGAAACCAAAATCTGGAAACAGAAGACCTGCCTAACAAATTACAGTATCATCAAAACAAACATTACACTAGCCTTTTAAAAATATATAATCATCTGTTTCAAGTGCAAAAATGTCCACCGGGAAGACGGTGGAATTTTCTAGCAAATCTAAGAGCTGCCATCATCTTGCCAAAGCTTAAGAGCATTAAGATGATGAAGGGCTTGGTGAGAGAGCATGGATTAATCCAAACAACCCACCACTATTTGTGAAAGACGCAAAACCCATGACTTTCAAATAGGAGGTCAGTGTGCCAACTTCCCATATTATTTACTGCGGAGAATTATCCTGCAGCTACAGTGATTTCAAAGGGAAATCCCAAAGCTCTTCGGCTCAATAGGGGAGGTTCTGAGAGCAATTTCTTGCTGGTTGCATATCCAGGCAGGACATCAATGAAGAAGTAGCCCATAGTCTACCAGGCACCACAAAGCCCTGCCAAGGAGAACGTAACAGTTTTGTTTGAACAGTTCATGGGGAGAGCTACTGGACAGATACACCAATGGGGGCCCTCGAGTCCAGAAAACCAAGCTTTCCAGAAGACTTATAGAGGTCTTTATCAAGGTCAATAACAGGAGTCACGGTGGGGACTGAAAAAGCAGTGTAACTATGAAACAGAAAAGCCAGGAAAGAATAAAGTGAGAAATAGGAAACAAGTAAATGAAGGCGAGCATGCTTCTTCTGATGAGTTCTGGAAGCTGGAAGGAAATTCTGCAGGTGGGGCCCACTGGACCACCGGCCGGGGCCATAGCCACAACCCATTCAACACCGTACCCTTTCGGCACTTGGTGTAGTTAAGCAGGGTAGGTACTGGTCATAACAGACACTTTAAAAAGGTTGCTGAGGGGCGCCTGGGTGGCTCAGTCGGTTAAGCGTCTGGCTTCGGCTCAGGTCATGATCTTGGGGTTTGTGGGTTTGAGCGTCACGTCAGGTCTATGCTGACAGCTCAGCACCTAAAGCCTCCTTCAGATTCTGTCTCCCTCTCTCTCTGCCCCTCCCCCACTCACTCTGTCTCTCGAAAATAAACTTCAAAAAAAAAAAAAGAAAGAAAGGAAAAGAATTTCATTCACCAGGATGGAAAAGCAAAGCATCAAGGCGGCTGGCTGGGAATCAGAGAGAGAGCTTATATAAACAGTATCTATGCATTGAGGGGACTCTGAACTTGGGTCAGACCGGTAGAAGTGACCCAGGGCAGACCCTGCAGAGAGGCAGCTCAGAGGGTAGTGGGAGGCTTCGTGCCACATCTGCCCATTTGCTGACAAAGACAGAATATGGCCCCATCTCAACAGCACAAAAAGATGACTTTTACCTTTCTCTATCCAGTAGCTCTGAGGTAAATTCTGGGTTTCCTGGGGTTACTTGAGGTCCCTATAACTCATGTTCATAGAATACTTTGAGGAAGCACGTAGAGCTCATCTAGAATAGACTGTCAACTGAGAAGGTTT